AATGCACTATTCCAAAATTCCCCTTAATCCTCGTGGAACAAGGCTTACTGGGATGTCAGAATAAGTCACCTGTTATTTTGAAATCTATTCTGGAGTAATGGACGCTTCAGTAGACATGAAATAGTTATTTTGGGATACTTCTGGTATCCCAAAATAGCTCCACAGTGTAGACATACCCTAAGGTGCCACAGAACTGCTAGGCTATGTCTAGAGAGCGGGGCTATTTTGAGATACCGGAAATATCCCGAAATAGCAATTCCACACCTTTATATGCACCTGTTCATGTTTTGAAATAACAGGCATGTTATTCTGGGGTCCCTGTAGCCCTCGTTCCATGAGGGTGAAGGGACTTGTCAGAATAGCACTTTATTTTGAAGTTACCTTGAAATAATGTAGTGCAAATTGCATAGCTTATTTCGAGGTAAGGGTGCAGTGTAGATGCACCCTTAGGAAGTTAAGTGAGAGCTCTCAGGGTTGACAGCAGGAGAAATGGCCATGTGTTCTCCAGTCAGATGTATGGAGACATGAATCAGCCAACTGTGTATGGTACATAATGTCTCTTGTAGGATTCAAAATAGTTCACTGCTGTTGGCAGGTTGCATTTAAGGAACCTGGGTGTTGCCATAATGGAATAATTACCTACTTGGATAACTTTCCTCCAGAAGTGGACTATGCCAGATGTTTATGGGGAAGGTTAAAACGCTTCAGTGGAAGGGGAAATAGATCCATTCACAAACCCTTAATCATCAGCTTGTACTAAGTTCCAAGAACAGTGTAGAGCTTTTATATAACACCTGCCTATATATCAATTTGGAAATCCCTTTTACATCACATTAAATTGACTCCATTTGCTGTAACAACAAATTCCACCTATTGTCAAATGGTGCCTAAAAGTTTTGTCATCTCTTGTATCATGGAGAGGGGATGCTGAAGACCAACCTGTCCATTGTCTAAACACTTAAGCAGTTCGCTTGTCTATATCAAATTGCCTCTCTTGAAGCTGAAACATGATGAGGCTAGAGTACCTCATATTAAATGAGGTTTTGTCATCTCTTGTATCATGGAGAGGGGATGCTGAAGACCAACCTGTCCATTGTCTAAACACTTAAGCAGTTTGCTTGTCTATATCAAATTGCCTCTCTTGAAGCTGAAACATGATGAGGCTAGAGTACCTCATATTAAATGAGAAGATTGACATAAAAAGCAAAAAAAGATTTTGAGGAACAGCTAGCCAAAAACTCAAAAAGAAATAACAAAATGTTTTTTAAGTACATTAGAAGCAGGAAGCCTGCTAAAAAACCTGTGGGTCCCCTAGATGATCGAGCTATAAAAGGAGCAATCAAGGACGATAAAGCCATTGCAGAGAAACTAAATGATTTCTTTGCTTCAGTCTTCAAGACTGAGGATGTTAGGTAGATTCCCGAATCTGCACTGTCCTTTGTGGGTGATGAATCTGAGGAACTGTCCCGGATTGAAGTGTCATTAGAGGAGGTTTTGGAACAAATAGAAAAACTTAATGTTAACAAATCTCCGGGACCGGATAGCATTCATCCAAGGGTTCTAAAAGAACTTAAATGGGAAAT